TTGTAAAGGGGCAAAGCGAAAGTGACACTGGGATGACGTACCGGACGGCTAATGGGGGAAAAATAGTCCGAGGCAGTAGTGACGTAACTACTCCCTTTTTTATACGAATCTTCATCTACAACTGTGTTGGCTACGTAGCGGTCTACTGTTACTGGAATTAGTTATAGCTTTGCAGTTCACAATTTCTTTCTGGTACAAAAAAAAAAAAAAAAAGAGATAATTAATATGTAAATGAAAAATTGCGATTGTAAAACAGTTTAACATCTTGATGAATATTCTTTTTAAAATGTTCTATGTGCTTTCATCGAAGTCGTTTCTCTTCTGCAAGTTTTTGCAATGAAGGAACCACTTTTCCAGCGTTGTGAAGGAGGAGAGGGAAAAGAAATATTGAGTCAGAATGTATTTTATGTAGACCTAAAGTTGACTGTTGAAGAAAGCGATGATGCGAATTTAGGTAGGAAATTGCTTCGCAGGTTTGCGGAAACTGAGTACCACAAGGAACTGCGAGTATAGCAAGAAATATAACAGTACTAATCTAATCTAGTTTGTCCCCTCCAAATACGTAAATTTCTGTGTTATCTCAGTTTTGGTACCGATCGATCTACTTTGAAATAAGTCGCCTGGAATTTTATTTTTTGTTTTTTACTATTATTTTAGTTTTAGTATTATAATCTTTGTAAGTCTGTAATAAGGCTATCACTTGTTGCACAAGTTCAAAATTCATTTTTCTTGCTGCTACGTTAGTTTGGTCCTTGAAGTGATGATATAATAATCATTGGCTCTGCACATATTCAGGAAGTTAAGCGGTTTATTTAAACTATTAAAATCTGTAGTTTTTAGAAAGCGAAGAAAGAAAGGACGCGCTTTTGGGACACCGATTCCACACTTTCTCCGTAAGTTTTCTTACAGCAGGTTTCACTTAAAGCTTTTTCTATGTCAAACCGTACGATTTTCAACTAGCATATTATAATATTTTTGAAAAATTGTTGGTTAGTGAGGCTTGGCTCCGGACTTGAGGAACCTAAGAGAAACTCTAGGAGAGGGGTTCTTCCCGAAACGTTCAAAGCTAAATTTTTTTCAATCCTTTGGGCAGTCTAATCTCTTTTGAGGTTTTATAATTACGCCCTTTTTACGTAAAGCCAACTATTTTTAGGTTCAAGTAGTCATGCTTTTGCATATTTCTGTTGCGCAAAACTTGAACATTTCTGAGTCCAGTCAAGAGAAAGTTAGAAGTGAACTTTTTTAAAAACAGTGAAAGGAGGAACAGTTCTTTTTTCCTTCCCGCTTTAAACAATGTTATATTTTTACGTCGCAAACTGAGAATTCTAGGATAACTAGCTAACAGTCACAGTCACTAAAATATTGCAAATGGCAACGGTTTAGGGATATGCAAGGAAAAAAAAATACTGTTGTTGAGTTTGAGAGTGCGTACTTCTCTTCAATGGTGTTGTGATTCTCACCTGCTTCACTCTCCTCCTGCTCATGTTTGAAGGCTGCGAATCAGAAACAGCTGTAGGAGAATGATTTTT